ATATATATATATATATATATATATTTGAAACTTAAGAGCATCTGAATCATACACCATAACACACACTCCAATGGAAAATGATAGTGCAATATTTTGGAGCTAATTTTTTCTGCTGTTTTCTCTTTGCTTGTAGGAATCTACTTAATTAAAAGGGATACACCTTGAAATGAAACATTACTGAAATTTAACACAATTTTTGATTGGTTAACCAAATGGAAGCATTCATGAACAAAGACTCTTCTCCTTTCTCTGTTTAAATAGATGGTTGCACATTCTATCTGTATCTGTGTATCCATATAAGATTTCCCAGAGAAGGAAGTCATAAATGCCGTAGTACTAGGCTCAGCATCCACTGGATCCACAATCCACAGCCTACAGAGAAACAGCATCTCGATCCTCAGCCCAAGGCACAAAGCCAAGAGGTCCAGAGTAAGTTGTTAGAGAGTAAGAGAGAGAGAGTACCCTTCCAGTGGGGTGTGGTCATGTGGCAATGTGCCATTTCTCTATGCCATCAGCATTTGGGGTGCATGTGGACATACACTGGCATGTTTTTCAAGCTGATGAGTCTGAGCTCTGAACTATCATCAGCCATGTGAGATATTTTCTATAAGTGCTGTGCTATGGGGCTGCCCAAGAGATATCTTAGAATAAATAGAGTGGATCCAGAAAAAGACCACGGTACAAGAAGAGAATGTTTATATTAGATATTAGCAGATTGTAGAGGTAGTTTAACATCACTAGAGGCTGATAAAATCTTTGAACTAAAAGTTTAGTCATTTGACAGTTTGATGAGTAATTCCTGTGTACACAGGGGTAGGCAAAATATATAAACAATACCAATGAGAAGGTAGGGAGAGTAGCAGAAAGGTCTATCATCTGGAGGTGGCAATTGTTTTCTCTCTAGCTCAAAGACTGCATGTTAGAGGATTGGTGAGGATGGCAGAAGGCAGCTACTTTTAGGTGGTGTGCATTTGACAGTCAAAGGAAGGTGCAATTAAAGAGTAGAGGGATATGCAGTGCAGAGCCAGGACTAATGTGAGGGAGTGGTGGCTGGAGTGCCACATTTAAGTAAGGGATCACTTGCACATCCTGAGAGTCTGTGTCCCTTTAAGAATAAGGCACTGCAGTAAACAGAATTGATGGGATGGAAACAGACCTTGCAGAACACTAGGAATTCAAAAGATCCCTTAGGCAACAATAAGGGGAATTTCCAGAGCAGCAGTATATATGGCATGGTGAGAGGTATGATTTCCTGTTGAAGAGCTGGATAAAGTAACTTGAACTAGAATGACAAATAACTGATGCTTCCTTCATTCAGATTATAGTTCTCTCAAGTCACAGCCTGTGCCCTGCTGTGTTAACACTTCATCAGACTGCCAGTTGCAACTGAGTAAATCCCTGGTCACATAAACTTTGCTAGCCAAGAATAACATGAGCCCAAAGAACTAATCCCATATATAAAATAAAACGGGTTTTTTTTCTTTTCTTTTACTCACTGACATCTTGCCACGCCAGATGCCAAGTGTGGGCTCCTTAGGCATCAGCGCTGCTCTCTCTATTACTGGATCTATAGGGCTGGGCAATCACACTTTTGATGACTATATATAATCCCTCACTTGTTGCTGTCCAGATTTTACAATTTAATAGACAAATGGAACTTGCTGTTTCCCATTCCAATCAATTGTGGTGTCATTTATGCAGTTAGCTCTTTTTCTTCAATCCTACCCCTCACACCAAGAAATGAGAGAGAATTTATCTCTCTCAATACAGGTGAATTAACTCTTTAAAGACAAAGGCCTTGGGCTGGCTCCATAGCACATTGGTTAAACGCTGTGCATAGGAAACCAGATCCCATATGGCCCTACTGCACTCTGAATCCAGGCCTTTGTGGCTTGAATAGCATGCTGGGTATGAGTCTGCATGCTCCGAATTCTGTAGGAATAGATAAATGGAGGGGGAAAATTACCATATGATCATGCCCTAATGGGGAGTGCTCTCTCTCTCTCTCTCTGTCTCTCTCTTTCTCTGGCAAGCCAACATGTACTCAGGCAGTAATTTAAAAAGAGGAAATGAAAGATAGACAAAAGTCTTGGTCTATTTTTAGGTTCCCAGCGTTTTTCCCCAGAAGAAATCCAGTGCAAAGTCAGAGCTTAAAACAGACATAGTAAGCTGAATCCAGAACAAAGTCTGATGACACTGGGTGCATTAAGGACATTAGGGCTGGAATAACTATGATTGAGCACAATAAACTTGAGCACAAGAGCTCCTTTTCACTATTAGCTCTTTATTAACTGATAAAAAGAGTTAGTTTTCCATTATGCTCTGTCACCATTATGCAACCTAGTCATTGACCCAAAGTTATCTGATGTCTAAACTCAACAGTATTCAAGGGGGTGGATGTGGAGAAGACCAGAGTGTACCTAAGAGGTTAAAAATTACAAAGAAAAGAGAAAGGGTATGAGAGAGAAAATAAATAAATAAAAAGATGCCAAAGAAAAGCAGAATAGTTGGCATACTAATCTAAGATGAAATACTGAGGAAGATTACTATGCAGAGAATGGAGAATACTAAAAGTATTCATCTTGTCTGATACCTGAAATATTAATTTTCCCACTATATTTTGAAATTTTAAGTATGTACAACCTTCTAATGTATAAATTTCCTCTCCTATTCTTTGCCTCCTTGTTTCAATTTTTGGGTTCCCACTTCAAAAATTCCATTAGCATGTGGGGAATTCTCCAAGTCATTTCAGAATTAATTTTCTTATGTTACTGGAGGCCCTTCCTTCTATCTTGGGGTCAATCTCAGTTCCAAACATTTCTCTGTGCTCTTCTTATGGGACTGAATTAAAAACATTTATTTCCCAGGATTTTCTCACTAGTAATGCTACTGTGACCCCTTTGAGTTTGTTTCCCCAAATGGTTCTTCAGTCTACATTTTCCTTGTCCCACATTATTTAAACAGCAATTAGTAACTCACCTTCAATGCTAAAGGCAGTAATTCAGACTCACGAGCTTTTTTTGTCTATATAATAAAACTTTTAACTGCTTCTTTATATCAAAGTCAATAAGTAACTTTGTACCTGATGACACATTTTTATTAATTATAGCTCTTTGGGTGCGAATGACAAAAATATTATTAATATGAATTAGCTTAAACCCAAAGAAGAGTTTACTGATCCTTAAATCAAAGCACATGAAGGACAAGTTAAGTGTCTTAAGGAATAGAAATCAGAATCTCCCATGTCACCAGAAGCTTCTCTCCATGTCCCTCTTCTCTGCTTTTCCTTCTTCTGTTTCTTGGGTAAATTTCTATACACAGAAGACCTTGTCTCCACACCTTCACATGTACTCCATTGTTGTCTTGTATATATGATAAAATGTGCCCTATAGTCACAGGTCCAATTAGAAAAAGTTTTTTTTTTTAAAAAAAAGGTGTTATGGATGACAAATCAATAAATGTCCATAGCACATGATTGGAATAGTGATAACCTTCGATGGTTATTCTTACAGTCCTAGAGAGTTATTACTAAATGAATTCTGAAAGCTTTAGCTGAATATTCACACTACATTTAGGCTCTGAAACAAATAAATTACTTAAATGATGATAAACACAGAGAGTGTCCTACCCCAGATATAAATAGCGTCCTACAAAGATCTATTTTTATTCTCACGATCACAGCTAAGCAGTGGATTCCAAGGATACCCAGGCAGTTTCTCGTCTCCCATTCAATAGGGAAGTAAATAAAAAAAAAAAAAAAAAAGACCATTTTATGTTTGTTGAGAAACTCAACAACCTCAAAGAAAAGCATCCAGGTCATAAAAATTCTATAAACTTAAAATTTATAAGTATAAAACTTTAATAACAAGCCAAAAGATGTCTACCTATGAGTCATTACTCACAGTTTTAAACTCAATCTCTCCTTTCTCTATTTCTGTTACACACACACACACAGACACACACACACATTGAATAGCTTATTTTTCCATATATTCAAAGACAACCATACTTTGCTCTAATACCTGACACTCGGTATTTTCTCTTTTTCACTCCAATATAACATATTTGTTCAAATCTTTGATATAGTATGTTTTATAAATATTTCATCAGCTACTGGACATCTTATGAACAACATTCAAATTATTTTGAAAATATAAACTCAAAACCAGATAGGATGGTTAGCACAGGATGTCTTCATGGAAAACACTTGAGCATGTTGACGCTATCCTGGGCATACTCTTCGTAATGCTGTGAAAAACCCTATTAGCTTTGATGGCAGAAGGCACACATTCATTAGCTCTTAGGCACCATGGTGCCCAGAGAATCTCCCGGTCTGATGTTATTCCCGGTCTGATGTTATTCCCGGTCTGGGAAAATGGATTTTCTAGGGAAGGTATGAAAGCCCAGAGCTCCAAAGACAGACTACAAGTCACACTTCGAAAATCAATAAAGAATAACGAGAACATACTGGAAGCAAAAGTGAATACATTTATTAGGTTAAACACAACTGAATATCCATACATTTTGTAAGAAGAATTTATGTAATCATCAATTGCTTGTTTCAAAATTATACATATTTAACTCTACATTTTGGTAATTTATTAATTTCATAGTCTGAAAGAGCTATTTTGTCAGCTAGTACTTAATGCCAGAGAAAAGTTGAAGAGCTGATGGTAAGAAGTATAGCTAGTATGGCAGAAGAAACTTATAAAGAGCAGCTTTAAGAGGAGACTCAGACACTGTGTTTAAAAGACTTGGAAATTTAGCAAATTGATCTATAGAAGCCAGATCCGCAGGCTGGTCTGTAACAAGAGGACTGGCAGCTCCTAGAAGCCAGATAGGTTGGGCGGCAGAATCTGGATCCATAGCCCAGGGACGGGAAGCCACACACTCCATAGCCCAGAGGTTGGAAGCCACTGGGTCCACAGCCCAGGGAATAGCAGCTCCTTGATCCATAGTCCAGGGAGCGACAGCTGCTGGACCCAAAGCCCAGAGATCCGGAATAAATTGGCTGGCAAGGACTGCAGATTGTGGAGGTCCTTGGGCGATAGCAGGATGTCTGGCAGGGACTGGGGACCACACAGGATGTCTGGCAGGGGCTGGACACCACACAGGACGTCTCGCAGCTGGTGGGCTCACAGCGGGTCTCCTGACAGCCACTGTAGAGAGAGGAGCCCAGCTGGCAGGCGCTGGGAGAACAGAGGTTAGTGCCGAGGACCAGGTTGCTGGGGTAGGAAGAGCCACAGGAAGTGGTTGGTGATTGCAAGTAGCCTCCAAAAGAACGGGAGGAGAAGTTTCCAGAGCAGCAGTTGTAGGACATGATGGCAGGAGGTGTGAGTTCAACTGAGTTACAGTGAGATGATTCCCTGAGTTTCAATGTCATGGTCTGCACTCCAAGTTATTTATACTTTTAGATGTGGGTGTGTCTGTCCACTGTCTAGATGCTCCTTCCGCTTTGCTCACCTTTTATGAAAGAATGCTTCTCTATGTTATTGTTTTATTTGTCATATCTTCATATACTTAATTGTCCTTTACTCATTATGATACTCTTAGGATGAAGCCACTTAGTTTCTTTCTCCTGGAATTTGCTGTGGTTTGACCTTCAATGTCAGGTCATCACATTTCTTAGTACTGTCCTTATTAACCATGTTGACAGTGAGTCCTTGGCCTACCAAATGGAATTGCATAATTTTCAATAAGTTATCAAGAACATCAGGAGTTACTAAATATTTTAAAGTAGTCTATCCTCGGGCTTACAGGTGATGTGGAGTTTAAGGAACTGGATCTTACACAGTTGGCTATGTGGTTCAAGTCCCATGGTGAGTGACTTGAAAGTCACATTGGTTGCCTGTGATTGCATGTCCAAAATTCCAAGAGGAGAATGGAGAATGGATTGCCATGTGACCATCCCTCCGGGAGGTGATTTCCCACTTTCCCTCTATATCTATCTGTCTTTCTCCAGTGAGCACACTTGTATTATAGCAAACTAAAAAAATAAAAAACAAACAGCAACAAAAATATTTTTCCTTTTCTTCATAAGCACAGTAAACAGATTTTTTCTAAATATCAATCATATTCACTTGTCTCACAATCTAAGTGTTAAGGCTTTCCCATATCTCAAACTCACGACCAGACTTAAGGATTGTAACATTATCCATGGTGTTCATACCATTAGACTTCCTTCCAGAGAGTCTTCCTTAGAATATACACATTTAGGAGACAATGAATATACCCTTTATTTATTTATTTTTTTTTGGAAAGGTTTTTTTCACTATAGGGCACGTGCGCTCGCCAGACAGACAGAGAGACACATAGAAACAGAAAGCGAGAAATCACCCCCCAGGGGGGGATGGTCACACCACAATCCCTTCTCCTCCATTCTCCTCTCGGGATCTTGGGCACACACGCACACGCGTCCAGCGTGAGTTTTAAGCCTCCGGGTCTGGGACGCAAACCGCGGTCAACTACGTGGGAGTCCAGTGACATTCCCATTACGCTAACTGCTGGTTCCCAATGAATATAGTCTTTTAAATGAGACTTGAAACTGATGTTTTTTCCTAAGAAAGGGGTCTTCAGAAACTTCATGGAAAATGCATTTTATGAAACATCTATGCATGGATTGCAAAAAAATTTTGCAAAATAAACTTACAATTACCTTTTTCCATGAACTTTTTGAAGTACCCTTGCATTTTCTATGAATCTGTATTGTAGTAGTGTCTATTCTATGCTTATGTCTTCAATCAACTCATATGGTCCTTTTGTTGACAAGCATTCAACTGCAGTTATTCATATATATTAAAAGGAACATTCCGGAAACCAGCAGTTAGCATAATGACTATGTTGCTGGACTCCCACGTAGTCGACCACAGTTCGAGTCCCGGACCCGGTGGCTTAAAACTCATGCCAGACGCGTGTGCGTACGTGCCCAAGATCTCGAGAGGAGACTGCAGGAGAATATGAGCTTTTTATGATTCCAGACAGATTCTGATTGTCTTTTCTAGATCTGTTAACAATGTCTTTGGTAGTCTGATTGGAATTATATTAAATATGTAGATTAATTTCAGTAGATTTGTCATTTTATGTTAATTTCTCCAATCCAGACACATGAGATTTCTTTCCACTTTTCTAGGTCCTTTACAATATATATTTTTCTCTTTTTTTTGGAGAGGTTTTTGTTATATGGCGCATGCGTTCGCCAGACAGACAGAGAGAGACAGAGAGACAGAATATGAAAAATCACCCCCTTGGGGTGATGGCCACACAGCAATCCCTTCTCCTCCATTCTCCTCTCGGGATCTTGGGCACACACGCACACGCACCTGGCATGAGTTTAAGCCACCGGGTCCAGGACGCGAACTGCCGTCGACTATGTGGGAGTTCAGTGACATAGCCATTATGCTAACTGCTGGTCCCTGTTAACATTTTTTGAAGCTACTAATTTAAAGTATTAGAAATACAAAGGTCATGAGCATTCTCTGCTCAACCCCAAAATTATGTCTCGCAGAGGTTCAATAGTTTCTCCCTGATTTCTCAGTAAGTTAGAAGCAAAATTAAAGCTCTAACCACGGTTTTCTTATGTAGCATTAGTTTTTGAATACTCCACAAATATAAAAGCAAATTTAACCTTAACATGTCTCAGAAAAGAATCTATTAAGCTTATTTATACTAAGATATCAAAGCCTTATTTATCGCTCTAAGAATATCTGCATTGAATACTTCTGTAGGGGAATTTGCCCTGTTACTGATCTTATACATTTAATGTATATTTTACTTTTTAGCTAAAGAAAAGGAAAAGAACCTGGATAATCCATACTTAGAATAAAAGGAGGGGAAGGCTGCTTATCTGGTTTGTGCTCATTCTTTTTCTTTTGAATCTGACTCTGTACTTGGTTTAACTAAGGGAAATGGCATTCACAATTGTCACTGAAAAGAGAGCCCCTTAAGTACCTGAAAATTAACTTGCTTTATTCTAAAGCACGCTGCTTCAGAGCACTTAGTTACTTTGTTTTATGATTATCTCTCCCATGCAGAATCCAAATTGTGGCATGCATCACATGAAGTGCCCTTGTGCAATACTTAAACCATCACTCTGATTCACTGGAGTAAAATAAGCTATGCTTTATGAATGGACACCTATTAAATTTACTGAAGAAGTATGTGCTCCCCCCAACATATGGGCTCCTTATGAAGCTAGTCTTTAACTCCTTTAGAATGGAAATATTTATCTCTTCCTATTTATTGTTGATTTTATTAAATAAGACTTATTAACATCCAGAAGTTCTTGCTTTCTCAGACCAGTTCCCTATATCTGGGAATAAACATTAAAGTAACTTGGGAATAAGTCAATTCCAATTAACACTCTCTCCACCCATTTCTAATTAGGTTAACATTTTTCATTAGAGTTATTTGTGCACTTTGTATAAATGCTAATGAATAACTCATAAATGCTAATAAATGTGTCCCTCTGAAAGGAAGAAAAATCAAAACAAAACTAGAATCGTATTAATAGTTCAGAAGTATATACTGAAACTAATAAAATACTCTCTGTGCTCTACACAGACAGGCAAACTATTTGAGAAAAAACTCACTGTCTAGATATGCCAGGGGAAAAATGCATTATTGAAAAACTTTCTCCCCCCTCTCTGTCGCTCCCTTTCTCCTTTCTTCCTTCCTTCCTCTCTCCTTCCCTCTTCCCATCTTTCCTTCCTCTCTTAATTCTTTTCTTTCTTTCTTTCATTTTTTTCTGAAAATTTAGGAACACCCACACTACATACAAAAAAAGTAACATTGGAGAACCCAGCAGCCACAAGTAGCGTAGGATCAGAATTATTTGAAAAGTGTTTGTTTTCCAGGTCACCATATTAATGGAGCTTAGGCTTCAAGCTGATAACCTCTAGTAATGTTTTCAGATATTTTTTTAAAAAACCTTGAAATTAGGCAAATACTAGGCCTGTTTGGAAATTTGTGACTTTTTTTAATGCAAAAAAACTGTCATGACTCTCCTCACAACCCAATATTAAGCAGCAGTAGAAATCCATAAGCTCTACCCTACACGTTTTTCCTTCCTGTTCATTATTTTCCTTACATTTTTAAAACTGTCTTCCCTAGGCCTGTAAGAGATTTTTATTGCTCATTCCCTAAAAGTTCTTCCTTGTAAAAGGAGCATGTCACTAGATTTTACTTTCCAACTTCTCTCACCCAAAGGAGATTTATCTATTACATGTTAATGATAAGTGTTTTCTTTTTTTTTTTTTTGAGTGGTTTTTTGTTATAGGGTGTGTGTGCTCGCCAGACAGAGAGAGAGAGACAGAGAGACAGAAAGTGAGAAATCACCCCACGGGGGGATGGCCACGCCACAATCCCTTCTCCTCCATTCTCTTCTCGAGATCTTGGGCACGCACGCACACATGTCTGGCGTGAGTTTTAAGCCACCGGGTCTGGGATGTGAACCGCGGTCTACTACATGGGAGTCCAGCGACATAGCCATTACGCTAACTGCTGGTCCTAATGATAAGTGCTTTCTGAAGGACCGTTGCTGGGTACAGCATTTCCTGGGGAATCAGAGGATACTCTACTCCTGGCCTCTTATCTGGAACCATGCAAACCTACCCTGGGCTGCTGCCCTCTCCAGGTCCTCCTGTCTCACTCTAAGCACTGTGTTCCTCCTACCCCCCTGATGTTTGTCTTGCTTCAGATTAACACGTTTTTACATCTTCAGAGTTGCATACTCTGTAACTTTTATTTTAAATGAAAAGGCCAGGGTAGCTGTTTTCTAAATAGCTCTGATTACAGACTTCCCTGTTCTTACAGCATTCTAATATCTTCCACATGCATTACCAAAATCAGTTTGCAAAACTGGTAAACATGAAACTAAATACAGGAATAAAGCAAACTATAGTAGTTTTCTGGAATGCCCGAACTCAAAATCTTCGCCATTTTGTAAAACTTGTGTTCATCTGTTTCTCTTTCTCTCTCAGTTATTTTTCAATTAAAAAAAGAAAACATTGGGGCCAGCAAGTGGCATGGTGGTCAAGGCTCTAGATTCCCACATGACAGACCATGGTTAGAGTCCGGTACTTGGTGGCTTGTTTTCTCAGTTTCCCTCTATGTCTCTCTAGTCAAATTAAAAATAATAATAATAAATAAAATGAAATACTTCTTTTAAAAAATAAAGGAAAAACAATGACAAAGATAAGCTCCTAATGGGCCAGTCTTAGTCTGATTCTCCTCCTCATCTTTCCAGAGACATCATAACAAAGCATTCAGTTTTGTGTAGCTTTCCAGAAACATTCCTTCCATATATCTGTGAATTTATACTATATTATATACTGTAAATGACTTATATTTGTCACTATATTT